CTTTTCACTATAACTCAGTCAAATCTTGCTCAAATTTAATAATTAAAGTGTCTATTTGAAGCATACTTAAAAAACATGAATTTACATCAAATAATCACTGAATTCTGTGCAGAATTGAGTGAGAAATAGTTATTTTTTTGTTTTGTTTACTTTTGTGACAAAAAATAATGAATCATCAAGTGTGACAATACTTATGAAAAGGGCAGTAATTCTAACAATAGCTTACAATAGCTTGTATTGTTTGTCAAGTCTTGTATGCTCTGACAATCATTAAAAGCATTACAGGTCTCACAAGTCTTACATACCTTTTCAATATATGTCTTGTCTTTATAATCCAATAAATGGACTCCTGGCAGGGTTCTATATATTTTTCATATTGTTGATATTATATTTGAATGTATAACATTGTCAGACTATGCATATTTTTGTGATGCAATACTACCATAGTAGTACTTGGTACTTACTTTCTACAGAGACATGTATCTAACAGATTCTGAAGCAAGAAGTGTAAGGATGAAGTAGCTACTGTAATAGAGAATAGAATTAGTATATTATAGTACTTTAGTTTTCTCTCATTTTCTTACCCACTTTTCTCAACAAGTACTATGAGTATAACCTTGATTCCATCTATTGTTGACTCTGAATACTACAGTGGACTTAACTAAAGCAGTATTGAATTCTAAATATAGTGTTCCCTCATGCACAGTATTGTAACAACATTAACATATTATCCAAAACATGACATTCAAATGAATAAACGTGGAAATCTCTCTATATCAGTCTAAATTTACTTGGCAGTTTCATTTTCCCTCTTTTACTCCTTTTCAGCCAAACTCCGGGAACAGCAAAGCATAAGTTTGCTGCAAGCCGTTTAGCCGTGCCTGCTGGAATGCAGCAGCAAGCAAAGAGACATCTGAGTCCGCACTTTCAGTGGTGAACAAGTTTGCTTCGCTCCTTCCAAACGTGGATTTCGTCGTAGGCCAGCCAGGCACGGAAGATGCAGATGCGCGAACACCCGACGTAGCAACTGGGTGACGAATCTCATCTAGAGAAGAAGAATGTGCTCGTCCGTAAGACCGGAGAGGCGTGCTCAAAGAACCCGCCGACGCATACACCTGAGTACTTCCTCTGCCATTAACACCTGGAAGATCCGCTGTTCGATCGGCGATAGCTTTCCAGCTATGCCACGTATCTTCATATTCACAGTTCCATCCCCACTCTTGCAGCATTGCGCCCAATAGTGTATTGCTCACTCTCCTCTTCAGTACGAAAGCTTCGTTTGTAACGATGACCATACCCAGTTTGCACCTCGTGAGCATGACATTCACTCGATTTCTTGAGACAAGGAATCCCGGAGTTGTTGTTCGAACGATGGAGATGATTATAAAGTCAGCTTCGTTTCCTGTAGGCAGCAGAATCAATTATTATGGGTGACATTTGGAGTGAGGACTTGGAGTCGCTTACCCTGGAAACTATCAACATTGTAGACATTATCAGAACGCAAACCAGCACCCTCCAAGGTCTTTTGTAGCAGATTTCTCTGGGCATCGTATGGAGTGATGATGCAATAGTCCTGGCCTTGGTAATAATAGCGGACAAGGTGCTCCACAGTCTGAGCCTCACGTCTATTCTGTTATTTCGATAAGGTATCAGTTGTTATATAAATGTGAATTGAGTGAAGTATTAGCATACAATGAAGCTCTTATTGACTTTTTCTTCTACTCCTGGAGACACGTCGACGAACGCAACACACGTATCCGACGATATCGTATGCTCCGAATGGAGCTTCCCGTCGTAGACCGCGTCAGAAATGAAATCGCCGATAGGGATGGGCATTCTATCTAATTATTCAATAAGCCTCATGCTGTAGCAGCCACAGAGAAGGTACATACATTGAATATTTAAGAAATACGTGCTCGGTGTCAGATGCTGGACATCAAAAATGCTCTGCAGTGTGCTCGCAGCATCTTGACCGAAGGGTGGCACTGGATAGACGGAGGTTAGATAAGGGGTAGGAGCTCAGCTTAGGTCAACTTACGTTGCTTTGGGTCACCAAAGAAACAAACTCTATTCAAGCGCTTGAATTGCGCGAATACGTGCTGTGCATCACCTAAGCCTTTATCCATACCGAGTAGAAGGCTTTGGACCTACCATGTAGTTAAAAATACCGATTTGAGAAGCCTCGTCAACAACAAGTTTTGTCACCGGAACAAAATTGAAAACGTTCTTATTCTCCAAAGACGGGTTCGACAGCGTACTGAGAGTACACAAGACTACATGGATTCCGCGAAAGAGTACGCGAATGTCGTTCATGCGCGCCGACAGCTCGTCTGTTCGGATTAACGATTTTGAGACCGTTTCGTCGTAGATGTGCTCGTGCCTATACGGGTGTAAAACAGTTAATTAAATCCGATACTGACCAGTAAAGTCAACAGCGCCAATATAACTTCACCATTCGAGGTAAAATTCCTTGGAAACGAGCAGTTTGTACGTTATACCATCCTTTGCAAGTCGTTCCGCAATGTTCTTGACAGCCACGTTCGACTGACATACTACCCATACTGCATCATGCAAATCGATCCAGTGCATTAGCGCTGCTGAAATAGTCGAAGTTTTGCCTGTTCCGGGTGGGCCTGTGGAGCAGATGGAACTTCAACAAAATCTGATTATCCTCGGGAAGTACATACCATGTACGACGACGAACGGTGTCTCAGAGTACACCATTGCCTCTACCACGTCGGCTTGCGACTGATTCAGCCTCCCAGTCATTGCAGCACCAGAAACCTTCTGTGGTAATGTTTCCTGACCCATTGGAAAGAAAAGGTTTTGGATCAAGTGGTAAGCTGGGTCGTCAAGATTGTGCTTTCCTTGGAGAAGATGCAGGAGGAAGGTCTCGCGTGCACGCTCGGCGTGATTAAACTCGTCCTTTCCGACCACAAAGATAGTCTTGAACTTGCGACTGCCAAGATTGCCTTGCGGCGCGACTTCGGTGAGTTTCCCGCTTGCGCGCTTGGCGACTCCTCGATGCAGACGATCGGCCTCATCAAACATCCAAACCTCTTTCTAGTAAACCAGTCAAGTTCTAATTCTAGCTGTCCGTGAAAAGCACCTACTCGTTCGCTTGGCCTAACACGGCTTTTGAAACGGTCGTTCACGATGACAACATGGCCGGTTCCAGGAATGGCCGTCTCTTTAAAGTCGTTCTGTTGGACACGTGGCCTTGCTGCCTCCATTTGCTCCAGTTCTATGAGCATCGTTTGTATCGGCTGAAAATGCTGCCGAGGAAAGGTTTTTATGAGTTTTGTGACTTTTCTAAGGGAGTCGAAAACATTCACGTACCTCGCTTTTCAGGAATGCGGTATTGACCGGAATGGACGGCCTCAGGCTGCATTGAGTCTGGACTGCGGCAGCAACCCTGCTCTCAAATGTAAGTAGACGTATCGAGAAGTAAAGAACAATGGTATGATTAGAAAGAGTGTACCTCGCGGTAAGCCAAGCACGCAAGGCAAGGTCCTGCAGCCTTGCAGACCCATCCTCCGGATCGAGTGGCAGCGCGTCCCATAGGGTGTCGACATCAAAAGTCTGCACGGTAGGGTCGACATAGTTCCTGACAAATGCGCCGGGAGATAGATTCCGATCTCTTGGAAGCGCTGCCTCAGAAATCTCAACTCCGGAAACATGAGTATTTAATCCATATCGAATATGCATCGCAATACGTGCCATTCCGAACCCAATGAGCGTGACGTTCTGACCGCTTAGCAGAGAGCTGAGGGATTCAATGCCCGTTGCAAGGTCACTGACGCGGGAGAATGAAGAACGCGTATATAGGATGGCAATGTCGTTTGCTGTAGATGCAACGGCGATTGCCTCAAGGAGAGCATCTTTGCTGGTCAGGAGGATGGCAATGCCCAGTATAGGGACATGGCTGTGCGTGCATTTCAAATCACTGTTCACGGCAGTAGCGAAATCTATTGCAGAGCTGAAGAGACGAGAGCTCAGCTGTTGTGGTATACCTGGTCTTTTGACGAGTGTCTGCGAGAACGGCTCCATGGAGTATGGGAAAAGGATGCGATAACAGGAGACCCAAGTAAGAAGGCTTATAAGAGAGCGAGCCAGTTTTAAAACGGGAAGTGACACCTTCATTTGGTGGCGTACGGCATGGGCACCCTGCACAAATAATATGCTAACGCTCACCTCGTGTGGGGCTGAAATAATATGGGCGTCTAAGTGTGACAAGGAACCTGGAAATTGCTATTTTTGAACCGGGCACGATGTAAGTTCGAGTCATTCCATAAGATGCCATAAGACCATGCGGTCTGAGAGGTGTTCAGAGACGGAACGGCGAGTGACAGGAAGCAGCAACTAAATGATATTTACAGCATCCTCAATTGATCATTGGACCGATACTGAGCATAGTCGAAGTATGGCCTGTCTGTACTTGTATTCTAGGCTATGAGTGAAAGGAAGACTGGCACAAACTAGTTCTTCCGTGCAGGACATGCGGTTGCCTTCGGGAAGAGCGGGGCTAGGACCTCCTTTAACACGGCCGTCTGGGTAGTTCTGGTAGCGCATTAGGACACTCCTATGCGGCATTTTCTTCCACTGGGTACAATGTCACATTGATCGGGCAAGACTTGGAAAACGTTCCGAGAATTCTTCGAGCGATGCAGCAAGTCTAGACGCTGGTTAGACGCCCACCACAGTTCAGCTTTCTATCAACTAGGAAAATCTTTTCTCAGCAGAACGTGCATGCGTTCTACTTCTCAGCAACGTTAGTGCAAATGTCCCAGGCGCAAGCGCCGAGCAAAGAACAACAAGCAACGAGAGTCAAACTTGTTGGAGGAGCGACGGATTCGCCAATTTTCAAGCGATATTACATAATCAATGGGTACCTGACCGTGGGACACCAAAAAAGGCGGTCCGCGGTCATCACTGTCCACTTGCCCTTGTAAGTTATTAGACTGTCTAGCTAGGCAAGCATTACAAGCATGTACATGATACATCTACTGTTGATTCTGAAGACTACAATGATGTTATCTACAGCGGTGTTAAATTCTAAAGATAGTATTCTGAGTAATAATATTAACTCTTAATAGTGATCAGAATACAAAGCTCACTCGTTCACAATATTGTAACAATATCAATACTATATTCCAAAACATAGCAGTCAAACAAATGAGTGTAGAGACTTCTACAACAATATAACATTACAAGGTAACCTTCTTTTTCCTCTTCGACTTTTTCGCTGAGCCAAGAATTTCGCTCGGTACCTGTTTCTTCAGAACAGTAAGCTTTTGTGAGGGAAGGCCTGCCCTAGAAACTGTCAAGGGCCTTATCTGCAAAGGATGTGGTGGGCCATTTCTCCAAGCACCAGAAGTCGGAGGTTGCAATGCCACAGTTGGAAGGTAGTCTGGGAAATCCGGGGTAACTGTATGGCGAAAATCATTTATTTGTATTCGGTGCATGGCTTTGGTGAGTAGAGGAACGTCCGAGTCGGGTGTCCCACGTTGAGAGGTAAACGAGTTTGGTTTGCTCTTTTTATGCGTGATTCGCAGTGTACTCCATCCTGGTACGGAAGGCGTGGATACGCAGACGCCCGGTGCAGCGGTCGAATAGTACATCTCATTATTGCAAGAAGAAAGTGTCTGACGCGACAATCGAAGACTGCTTTTCAATCTTTCCTCCGACGAATAAGACTGAGTAGTCCTTCTTCCAGAGCCGTTGGCACCTGGTAGATCCACTATTTTACCAGCAACAGCTCTCCAATTACGCCACGTATTCTCGCACCCATAGTTCTGCTCCCAATATTGGAGCATCGCACCCAAAAGAGTGTTGCTTACTCGGATGAAGGCTTGGTTCGTAATAATGACCATACCCAGCTTGCACCTCGTGAGCATGACATTCACTCGATTTCTTGAGACAAGGAATCCCGGGGTTGTTGTTCGAACGACGGAGATGATTATAAAGTCGGCCTCGTTTCCTACAGGTGACAAAACCAGTTATTTTGGGTAACATTTGGAATGAACCTGGCGTCACTTACCCTGGAAACTATCAACATTATAAACGTTGTCGGAACGCAAACCAGCACTCTCCAAGGTCTTTTGTAGCAGATTTCTCTGGGCGTCGTACGGAGTGACAATGCAATAGTCTCGGCCGTGATAATAGTGGCGAACGAGGTGTTCTACAGTCTGAACCTCGCGCCTATTCTGTGAATCCAATAAGGGATTAATTGCTATAATAAGTGCAAGAATGAAATATTAACATACAACGAAACTCTTATTATCCTCCTCTTCCACTCCTAGAGAGACATCTACGAACGCTACACACGTATGTGACGATATCTTATGCTCCGAGCGGAGCTTTCCATCGTACACCGCGTCAGAAATAAATGTGCCGATTGGTACAGGCATTCGATCTAATTATTTGGATGAGTCACAGGCTACAGCAGCAAAGAAGGAAATACGTACATTGCGTGTTCAAAAAGTATGAGCCCGGTTTCAAATGTCGGACGTCGAAAATGCTTTGCAACGTGCTCGCAGTATCCTGGCCGAAAGGCGGCACTAAAGATGCAATATTAAGGGAATGAATATGAGCATAACTTAGGACAACTTACATTGTTTCGGATCGCCAAAGAAACAGACTCTACTCAAGCACTTGCACTGAGCAAATACGTGCTATTCATCGTATTAGCCTCTACCACACCAATTTACAGGTTTCAAGGCCTACCATATAATTAAAAATGCCAATTTGCGAAGCCTCGTCTACCACAAGGTTTGCCACTGGAACAACATTGAAGACGTTCTTGGTCTCCAAAGACGGGTTCGACAATGTACTGAGAGTACATAGAACCACATGGATGCCATGGAAAAGCACTTCGATGTCGTGCATATGAGCAGGCAGCTCATCTGTTCGGATCAGCGATTCTGTGACCTGCTCGTCATAGATATGTTCGTGCCTATGACCAGAAAAGCTAGTTAAGCACTAGCCTCATAAAGTTATTGGAACCTCACCATTCGTGGTAAAACTCCTTAGACACAAGCAACCGGTACGGAACGCCATCCTTTGCGAGTCGCTCCGCGATGTTTTTGACGGCCACGTTGGACTGCGACACAACCCATACTGTATCATGGATATCAATCCAATGCGTTAGTGCCGCCGAGATCGTCGAAGTCTTCCCTGTCCCAGGAGGACCTACGAAACAACATGAAACTTTGACAAAATCAGTTAACCTTCTAAAGGCACTTACCGTGTACGACAACGAACGGTGCCTCAGAATGCACCATCGCCTCCACAACATCAGCCTGTGACTGATTCAATCTTCCAGTCATTTCAGCGCCGGAGATCTTTTGAGGCAATGTTTCCTGAGCTGTCGGAAAGAAAAGTTTCTGGATTAAAAAATATTCCGGATTGTCCAAGTCATGCAACCCCTGAAGAAGACGCAAGAGGAAAATTTCCCGGGCACGCTCGGCGTGGTTGAACTCGTCCTTGCCGACGACAAAAATCGCTTTAACCTTGCGATCGCCGAGGTTGCTTTGTGGAGTGACATGGGTAACCTTCCCATTCGCGCGCACGGCGACTCCTCGATGCGGACGGTCAAACTCGTCAAACATCAGTACCTGTTTCTATTTAACAAGTCAGGACTGAGTTCTTAAATTCTGACTGAGTTCTGAACGTTAAGGAAAGTGCCTACGCGGTCACTGGGTCTGACGCGACTTTTAAACCGATCGTTTGCAATGACGACGTGACCATTTTCGCCAATGGTTGCTTCTCTGAAGTCGTTTTGCTGGACGCGCGATCTCGCTGCCTCCATCTGCTCCAATTCTATCAACATTTTCTGTATTGGCTGAAAATGCTGTCGTGACAGAATTTTCTTGAGTTTTATGATTTTTCTAAGGTGTCAAAACATCCACATACCTCGCTTTTCAGATACGCGGTGTTGACTGGAATACACTGGCTCAGGCTGTATTGAGTCTCGACTGCCACAGCAACTCTGATCGCAAACGTTAGTGTGTACATCCAGAAGTCAGGAACAATGACATTATTCATTACTGGCCTACCTCACAGTTAGCCAAGCACGCAAAGCAAGGTCCTGTAGCCTTGCGGACCCATCATCCGAATCGCTTGGAAGCGCATCCCAGAGAGTATCCACGTCAAACGTTCGAGTGGTCGTATCGACATAGTTCTTGACGAACGTGCCAGGAGATAGATTCCGTTCCTTTGGTGTTACCGCTTCGGAGATCTCGACTCCGGAAACGTGAGTATTCAGTCCATATCGAATATGCATTGCGATGCGCGCCATTCCGAACCCTACGAGTGTGGCATCCTGACCACGTAGTAGAGGGCTGAGGGATTCAAGGCCAGTCGCAAGGCCGAAGAACGGGGAGGAACGCGTATGCAGGATAGCAATATCGTTTGCCGTGGTCGCGACAGCAATCGCCTCAAGAAGAGCATCTTCGCCGGTCAGAAGTATAGCAATGCCCAGTTTAGGAAGGGAGTCCTGTGCACGTCCCAAGTCACTGTTTGAAGCTATGGCAAAGTCTTTTGCAGACCTGAAGAACCGAGGGCTCAGGTATTGTGGTATCCCCGGCCCCTTGACGAGTGTTTGCGTGAAGGGTTCCATGGAGTATGGGAAAGGGGTGTGATAACAGGAGACTCAAGTACGAAAGCTTATAAGAGGACGAGTCACTATGGAATAGGAAGTGAACATCTTTGTTTGGTGGCGTACGGCATAGACGCCCTGCGCAGGTAATATTGTAACATTCACCACGTGTAAACTGAGTATGGGCGTCTAAGTGTGACAAGGAACTCGGAAATCACTATTTTCGAACCGTGCATGGTGTAGGTTCAAGTTATTCCATAAGATTCTATAGGACAATGCGGTCTTAGAGATGTTTGGAGACGACGTGAGTGACACGAGGTAGAGACAAAGAGATATCTACAGTACCTGATTAGCCTCAAGAAGGATACTGAGAATAGCCCAGATGCGCTATTGCTGTTTTCGCAAACCAGATGACTGTTCATGATGAGCGAAAAGAAGAATACCGTAAACAAGTTCCGCAGCGCAGAACATGCGGTGGCACACCCTGAAGAAGATTCGGACTGGGACCTCCTTTAGCATCGCCGAACAGGTAGTTCTAGTAGTTCATTGGGATGCCCCTATGTTCCCTTTTCCTCCACTCAATTCGATGTCTCGTTGATCGAGTATGACTTGGAAAACGTTCCGAGAATCCTTATGCGACGCAAGACGCCCACTAGACGCCCGTCAGACGCACACCAAAGGCCGACTTGATATCACCCCTGACATCATTTTACCCAGAGAACGCACATCTGCTTTACTTCCCAGCAACGTCAGTGCTGGATCCGCCAGGTGGAAGCGCCGGCAAGGCAAGCAAGCAACGAGAATCACAGTTGCTAGATTGTAGTAGAGGCTCGACAGATTTGCCGCCCAAAGAATTAATTACATAATCAATGTACCTGACCGTGGGAGTGTAACCCAGGGCGGTCATCAGTGTCCACCGGCTCTTACCTTATGGACACACCGCAGATTTCTCCTTGTCCTCAACGTTCATCTTTCTCTGACCCTCCTTTTCAGATACCACTCACGACTCTCCGACTTGCCTCTATATCCTCGTAGGCGTTGGTTATATACCTCACTCGATAGTCTGCGCGACCTCCACTCGAGGTACTATTGGTCACGTTAAGCAAGAAGACCTACCGAACTTGCCAACTGATAGATCCACCCGTCATGGTTTCCCTACGACTATTACCTTGCCTTGCTGCCCTCGCACTCAGTCCATTATTAGTATGTGCAGATCTGGGTTGTACGTACTCCTTTTTCTATCTTGATCAGGTCGGACGAGCGGATCGCTGATTTGCTCGTAAAGCGTACTTTTCGTTCATCCAACCAACGACCGGAACGGAGTGGGTGAATGGGCAGGCCAATCCTATTCTCTGGGAGAAGGGCTTGTTGGATGGCGTTGCGATGTTCGACCTTGAGCTTGCACGTCTTAGTCAAGATGGCCTTATTAAAGCCGCGCTCAATGGTGAGTTGTTGCAAAGACGGCTCCTGTGGTCTCAGTTTTTGCTCATACCCGTGTGTCTAGTACCTGCGAACTCGGGACATCTAAACGTCCTAATCCAAGACGTACCAGCAGCAGACGACTACTACCTCCTCTTCATCAACAGCACACACGGCGGGATGTACGCCATCTCACCACGCTTTACCATCCTCTCTGCAGGCTCAACAGTGCAAAATGCTTCAGCGAGCGCAAGTCCCGCTGCGAAGGACGCTACTACTCTAACGATCTCCGGCGGTCCTAACCCAACTGCAGTGTTTGCTACGACATTCCCAGCAATTGAGAATGGTGGTGTGCTGGCAGGGCGCTTCTTAAGTCCTGACGCGCGGAGTTCTGTGTTTGGTGTGCTGGGTGCTGGATTTGCGGTTGTGATGAGCGCTGTGTGGACTTTGTTATAGAATTATTGATAGAACGGACCTTTCGTGTTCTGACTTCCTTGTGTGTTTGCTTTCTTTCTCTACTCCATTTTCTTCTTGGATAATTCGTCGTCGACCATCAGGTAGGTAGATAATATTCCCTCCTCCACTATGTATATGTCGATATCCAACATATCCAACGTATCCAATATTAACGTTTGGGTCCTGTGTCGCTCCTTTTTATATACTATACCTACTACACTATGCATCACTACACCGCACTTTTAGCGCATTTTACTGTTGTGTTTATTTGCTAGCTAATAAGTCTTGTGATTACTGGTGTTACCACAGTGATAGCCTCAGTACAATGATGCAATGCTAGGATCACTCGGATCTATCTGTCAATCAAGTGCCTGCCTGAAACTGGTTACTGTGCTAGCACTGACACTGAATGAAGGTGATGCATGCGTGTTTTTGTTAGCCACGTCAATTGTTGGTCGGGCGCGTTTCTAATTGAATATTTGTTATAAATAGCTTCAAGGACATGATGCCCATTCTACTAATTTAACCGGAATGACTTGCCTAGACCGAAGGCGTGGCAATTGTTGACAGAATCGATACTGTGATAGTCATTTTATAAAGATGCTTTGTTGATGATTGAACCTCTAGGACAAGCTTTTGAATTTACACTCTTAGAGTATCTCAAATAAAATGAACACTCATGTATTTAAACTTCAAACTCATTATCTAGACTAACTGCTCTACAAAATGCTCTAGATCTGATTGGAGTTCATATCCTTCTTTTATATAGGCTTTTATCTTTGGATAAATTTTTTGAGAAATGATACTATATGCTCTGTCCAACATTTTTTTGTCCAGAACTCGGTGGCTAACAGTAACTGGAGTACTTAGTACTTTGCTTCCACCTTCAGGTATCTTTGTTGGTTGTATCTCAACTGATTCAGCAAAGTAACACTTGTAAATAGTGTTCAATTATAGAACAATCATAGAAAGTACTCACTGTCAAATTTATACCCCTCTTTCTCATTAGTATAGCTAACAAGGTCTACCTTAAATATAGCCCATCCTATTTTAAAACATGGTATAATGCCTAGTTATTAGTAGTTATATTAGAGTTAACTGTGTAATACTCTACCTTCCTTCAAATCTATAGCTGTGGATAAAATAACTATATGTAAATAAGTGTATTAGATTAAAAGAATGTAAATAATATGTACCAGTCTTTAAAGCATTACTATCTGAATGTTTCCATATATTTGGTATTTGTATAACTGTACTTGTGTTAGTTTGTTTAGGCATACTAATAATGTTCTAGTAAGGTGAATGTATATAGAGATTATGAAAGATAGACAAGTAAGCAAGTACTTATACAGTAATTAGAGGGAAAGGGAAGTAAAGAGAGTTGTAATAGAGACAACAGATTTATACTAGCAATATAGTGCAAAGTATGTAACAAAGCCTGAGGTCTTGTTTTGTAAAGAGTTTTAACAGGCATAATAAGCTATTAATACACTATACTAGTATAATGGATTTAAAGTTAACACCAGTCATTGCTAGGTTGAAAAACTGTAACTTGCACAAGGGAGAAATTGTTGGCTTCTAATGTTACAGAATATTATGTATTTACAGGCACTAGCAAAATTATTAACAACAATAACTGTATTACTTCTAAATGTGTTACTAAACTGTGTTGGATTTAGGTCAATACAGCTTGACAGGTCTTAGGCTACATTATAATAGCTTATAAGATTTTAAGTTATTGTACTGTATTGTACACTGAAATCAGTACTGAAATGGGCCAACTAGAAAGGCTGACAGTGTAGCATTAATAGTCTAATGCCTTGTACAACTATAGGAGCTCTGACTTTGTTACTTGTACTAACATTGTACTGGGCTCAAACTGTTAGCATCTGCTACACATAAACTGTTCTGTATTATACTGTTAAGATAGGGTAGTGTGAACACTTGATAGACATGCTTAATTATGTTAAAACAGGGTACTACTAGCTCCTGCAAAATTGTCTGCCAAGAGGTAGGTAGATAACAAATTTGTTGACCTTAGACCTAGTCCTAATAAAGGTAGTTTCATAGTAGTACTAATACTAGTAGATACTATGCTTACAACTAGTACACTATGTAAGATTATATAGCACTTTTAGCACATTTACTATTGTGTACTTTTGCTAGCTTGTAAGTCCCCTAAAACTTACTATGTATAGTAAATTGCTCTTTATACATTATAGGATCACTTCAGATCTATCTACTAGTAATTCTGCCAATTCCTGGCTGAAACTGGTTACTAGTCTGGCCTGCTAGCATTAATACTGAGTAAAGATGGTAGATAGGTTTTTATGTCAGCCACATTAATCTAGTACTTTGTGAACTGATTATTTACTGTAAATAACTTTTAAGCTTACAATAGTTATTATTACTATATTACTATTGAAAGACCTACATATGAACTTAAGTGTGGGCACAGTTTGGTTGATGGCAATTGTTCTGATTGGATCATACCTTCTTATAAGTACTCTCTATTATTTCTTCCCTTCTCTTTCTTTAATTGTTGTTCTTAGCCTGATTAACACTTCTATTACTATTTGCCTCTCTTACACTATATAGTTAGGAAGGTACAAATAAAGGAAATGAAAGTAATAAAAGGTGTGTATGTATTAATAGTAGAATGTTGTTCAACTGTATCACCCACATACAAAATGAGAGTAAATGAAAGCTTATTACACAAGCAAAAGTAGAACATTTCTTACTATCCTTATCCTCTCTCATCTTATAGATCCCTATCATATCAGCCAGCACTATACAAGTTACTATTCCTCAGGCTCACAGCATTCTACACTGTAACTTGGCCTAGTGATTCAACTTCTCCTCAAGCTCCTCCAACATTGTATTAGCCCTCTTACTCTCCTCACATTCTGTTGTTTCTTTCACAGTATTCAGGACAGTTCTGTTATTATAGTTGTCTAATTTGCACTCAACCTGTCTTAGTCTGCAAGTTGCAGGTTAATACAGTTGATAAGGTTGGATGAGTCTATAAGGTGTTTATGACTTTGATACATTTATACTATACTTTATTCTCTACAGTAAATTTTTCTACCTTAATATTAATTCTTTAATTTCCTTATCTGATAGTCTTCCCTTCTCCTTTTTCAACTGTTGTGAACCCGGATTTATCAGAGTACTCTTATTAGTAGTAGAGACTTTCATATTCTAATTCACAGCAATTTCAAAAGTGGCTTCAATTTGTGAGACACTATAAGGAGCCTAGCAGGGTGGATACTAGTTAATTCAAACATTCTAAGAAGGTTGTTATCTTTTTTGAGAGAATGATCGCCTTTGTAAACTTGGATAGGGACAGCTAGTTAGTTATCTGCTAAAGTTTGGGATTAACCAGGGCTTAAACAATTTGCCTAGACTGAGATGTGTTAATTATAGACAGACTCAATACTATAATAATCATTTTATAAAAATGTATTATTTATAACTAAACCTCTGGGACAAGCTGTACTTTATTACAAACTAAGAGTACTCTCAAATAACATGAATGCCTATACAGACAATCTTCAAGCTAATTGTCTAGGTTGACTGTACAAGTTGCTCCAGTTCTGATTTGAATGAATATTCTTGACTATACTGTTTTATTATTAGATAAATTACTTTAGAAACTTGGCTGTTTGTATCTTCCATCAGGGTCTTTTCTACAGCCCTGCAACTAATATTAGCTGAAGTATGTATTACTTTACTTCCCTGTTCAGGCACTGTTGTTGAATATATTGAAACTAGTTTAACATAGTTATAGTATTAAATAGTACATTACTGTAAGACAGTTGTAGAGAATACTTACTGTCAATAACATAGTTTTTTGGTGTATGTGTATAGCTGACAAGAGACACATTATAATCGGTCCATCCTATTGTAGAATCCAGTATAATGACTAGTTGTAAGTAGTTATATTTGAGTAAAGTATGTAATACTTTACCTTGTCTCAAATTCACAACTGTCTATAAAATGTCTATGTGTAAATAACTCTTTTATATTAAATGAATGTGAATAGAATGTACCAGTATGTAAAGTAGAGTCTGATCCTGTATATATATTGGGTATCTGTTCAAACATACTTGCTTAAGGTTTACTCAGTCTGATATTGTACTAGTGAAATGTATGTGTGTAGGGACTATTAAAAATTGTTAATAAACTGTAATAATATAATAGTTTAAATTAGTCATTACTAGTTTGTAACTAATACAAGAGACAAACTCTTAGTATATAATAATATAGAATGTAGTGTACTTACAAGCAAAATGACTAACTATAATAGCTCTATTACATTTAAGCACACTGTTAAACCCTGTTAGATTAATATAAGTAGATAGGTGCAACTTACAATTTAGAGATAACTTACAGAATTTTGAACTAACACACTATATTATACTCTAATACTTATACTGTATACAGTCTAGAAGGAGCTAACAGTATAGTACTAACAGTCTCTGAATATCTTGTACAACTATAGAAACTCTGAGTTTGTTACTCATACTTACATTATACTAGACTCAAACTGTTAGCATTTGCTAAGTATAGACTGTTCTGTATTATACTGTCAAAGTAAGGTAGTGTGTATCCCTAATAGGCATACCTGATTATGTCTAAGCAGAGTACTACTATTACTAGCTCCTACAAATTTTCCTACTAAGAAATACATGGATAACAAAGTTATTAACTTTAGACTAAGTCCAAATGAAGGTATTTTACTGTTTTATAGTATTAATACTAGTAGATACTATACCTCTCACTAGTACACTATATAGTATTATACTATACTTTTAGTACACTTAACTACTATACTTTTTTGTCAGTTTGTATGTTTACTGAAACTTACTATTCAAAGTAAATTACTCTTTATACATTTATAGGATCACTTCAGATCTATCTACTAGTAATTCTACTAATGCCTGGCTGAAACTAGTTACTGTTTATTACTCCCTGAGTTGCTAGCATTAATGCTGAGTAAAGATAATGAATAGGTTTTCATGTTGGCCACATTAATCAGGCACTTTGTAAGCTGATTATTTACTGTGATAACTTTTAAGTTTACAATAGTCATTATTACTATTGTAAGTCCTGCATATGAACTTAAGTATGAGCACAGTTTGCTTGATGGCAATTGTTCTGTTTGGGCCATGCCTTCTTATAAGTACTCTCTATTCTTTCTTTCTTCCTCTTTCTTCAATTGTTGTGCTTAGCCTGATCAATACTTCTATTCCTATTACCTCTCTTGTACTATATAGTCAGAGGGTACAAATAAAGGGAAAGGAGAGTAATAAAAGGCATGTATATATTTATAGTAGAATGTTGTACAACTGTATCACCTCCCTACAAAATGAGAGTAAATGAAAGCTCATTACACAAGCACTAGTAGAACATTTCTTGACCATCCTTATCCTCTCCCAATTCATAGCTTCCACACCAGCCATGCTAGTACTTTCTTCAAGGTGCATATCAAAGCACTGCACCAATAATGCTACAACCATCCGAAGTTCAGCCATAGCAAGAGCTCGTCCAGCACAGTTTGCTGGGCTGTAGGAGAATGGTATAAATGCAGCTGAGGTCATTGTGTCTACCTCTGTCTCTGTTCCTGCCTTTTCGGTAGAGTATTCCATTTGCTTCGGAGTGCGTTTCTTCATATCCGAGTTGAGCCACCTATCGGGCCAGAATTCCTCTGGCACAGGAGAGAAATAGCGTGGATTGCAGAAGATGATGTAGAGTAGGACGTTGACAGCTGTCTTCTCTGGAATGAATCTGGTAGATTGAAACACCTGATAAGCTTTTTACTATACAACTTATTATTACTCTTACTCACAGCGTTCTGCACTGTGACTCGGCCTAGTGATACAACTTCTCCTCAAGCTCCTCTAATATTACATTGGCTTTATAACTCTCCTCCCATTCTGTCGTTTCTTTCACAGTATTCTGAGTCAGGACGGCTCCCTTATCATAGTTGTCTATTTTGCGCCCAACCCGTCTTGATCAGCAAGTTGCGATTTAATACAGCTGATGGGGTTGGACGAGCCTATAAGGTGTTCATGACTTCAATGCACTGTGCTTTATTCTCTACAGTAAATTTTTCTGCCTCCACAACAATTCTTTTGATTTCCTCATAAAGCAGTCTTCCCTTTTCATTTTTCAATTGTTGTGAACTCGGATTTACCAGTTCCCTTATCAACAGCAGAGACTCTCATATTCTAATCGGCAGTGATTTCGAAAGTGGCTTCAATTCGCAGGTCACTATGAGGGTCCCGGCAGGAGGATACCAGTTAATTCGAACTTCCTGAGAAGGTTGTTATCTTTTGTGAGAGAATAATCGCCTTTGTAGACTTGGATGATGACGACTATTTAGTTATCTGATGGAGTCTAGGATTAACCAGGACTTCAATGATTTGCCTAGACCAGAGGCACATCAATCACGGACAGACTCAATACCATGATAATCATTTTATAAAAATGCACTATCTATGGTTAAATCTCTAGGACAAGCTTTATTGAATTTGCACTCTAAGAGTACTCTCAAATAGTATGAATGCTTATGTATATAATCCTCTAATGGTTATCTAGGCAAACAGCTCTGCAATCTCCTCTAGATCTTTTTGGAATTTATATCCTTGTTTCATATAGTCTTTTACTATAGGGTAAACTACCTTAGTAACTCGATCATTTGCCCTTTCCAACTGTTGTTTGTCCAGAATCCGATGCTTAATAATAGCTTTAGTATGCAGTACATGAGACTGTTGATCAGAACTCCCTGTTGAATATATTGCAACTGGTTTAACAAAGTTATAATTGTAAATAGAGCTCTACTGTAAGATAACTGTACAGAATGCTTACTAGCAATATTATATCCCCCCTCCTCCTTGATATAGGTAGCAAGTTCTACATGAAATGAAGCCCACCCTATTTGAGAATATAGTGTAATGCCTAGTTATAAGCAATTATATTAGAGTACACATATAATATTTTACCTTGTTTTAAATACACAACTGTTTATAAAATGTTTATATGTAAACAACTGCTAAAATTGAATGAGTGTAAACAATACATACCAGTCTTTAAAGCAGGGTCTGATCCTTCATATTTATCAGGTATATCTATAACTGTACCTCTTCCAGGTTGTTCAGCCATACTGATAGTGTACTAGGCAGATGAATGTGTGTAGAGACTGTAGAGAATAGACAAGCAAGCAAGTACTTACATAGTAATTAAAGGAAAAAGTAAATGACTAGAGTTGTAACAGAGATAACAACTTTATACTAGTAGTATAGTACAAAGTATGTAGCAAAGCTGAAGGCTCTAATTAGTAAACTCATTAGTATATAATACTATAGAATCTAGTGTACTTACAAGCAAAATGACTAACTATAATAACTCTATTACATTTAAGCATGTTACTAAACCCTGTTAAATTAATGTAAGCAAACAGGTGTAAACTACAATTTAAAAGTAGCTTACAGAATTTTGAACTAATACATTTTATTACACACTAATATTTATATTATATACAGTCTAGAAGGAGCTAACAGTATAGTACTAACAGTCTCTGAATATTATGTTAAATTATAGAAGCTCTGAGTTTGTCACTCACACTAACATTGTACTAGACTCAAACTATTAGTATTTACTAAGTATAGTGTTAGTCTATGAAAAAGTGGCAATAGACTCAAGGTTGTGCTTTACAAGTAGCTTAGAGGTAAGTCACACTAGTAGGGGTTCAGTAGACTCTGCTGTTACTCCTGTTAGCTTTATTATCCTAGTATTAGCTAGTTTATATACTATGTAGTTTGGGTTGTCTTGGATGTATGTCTCAGTTGATGTCTCAGTGTAATAACACATAGTAATGAGACAGTTCCACATTGTATTACACATATATGTACATAGTAAGACATTAGATGCATTTATTTGAAATAAATGTTAACACTCCCTCTCAAACTTATACTAGTTGATCAGACTAATATAATATTTGATACTGGTTTGTCTGTTGTGTTAAACACTTGCATTCATATTTGCAATATAAATGTTTAGTTCAATATGTTCATTAAGTCCACTGTTTGTGTTTTGTTTGTCTGATTATTATGTTTGATTAATAAATGAATTGATCATATGTTTACTTTGCCTAGGAGACCTGCAGGAATCTCTTCAGTGGTTTGCATTTGCATTGCTATGCATACAACAATTATTATCACAATTGTTCTGTTTGTTTCTCTCTTTAATATTAAGAGATTGTTCGTTTTGGCCATGTAGTTCAATAGTTATTCAATGTTCTCTTGATTGTAACACATATCTATCCAGTAATATCAATTACTATTTGATTAGATGATATGTCACTCGATTGTATTGATTGTATTGTCTGTTACTTGTATAATATTATTATGTATGATGGAATTCTGTTTTGTTTTTACTCTTTATCATACAATCATTAATCATGAGAGTAAAATGTATTTGTTCACTATGATACCCTTCATACATCATTGCAGTTTGTGTTTGTACATTGTCATGTGTACTATATGTATCATCATGTATATACTATGTACACTCAGTAATAAACTGATATTTTGCCATAGGATTGAAGCTTTGTATTATTCAAACTTAGTAGTATAGATACTTAATCTGTAATTGCCAGATTGCTTCTCTCTGAGGTCATGAGGTATTTCGTTCATTTCAATATTGGTCTGCACATTGTACAATGTACTTTAGTGTGTAATATCATATATTATATCATTTTTAACACATCCAGAGCTAATTCACAGTATACTGTATTTATTCTTTGACAAATCTAGTATGTTTTCATCATATGTTATCTCTCAAACAATTTTATAACATGTGTTTGCATTGTTTATTACTATAGTAATGCTAATCATGGATTTTTGTAATTGTAATCCTGATATTCAAGCTATTACTTATGTTCCTTTGTCTGTAACAATTGTAATATGTTCACATAGTTTGTGACTATTATTTTATAACTTTGTTTAGTTAATATAATACTTTGTACAATTATAATATTTGTCCAGCATTATATCTTGTTGTTTTAATAAGTTGAGTTAGAGTACTTTGTGTCTCTTTTTCTTTATATTGCTTTAATAGATATATTGTTCTATATCTCATCATTGTATTTTACAATTCTAATACTATTTACATTTATATTTATCATTACAATGATAGCAAATGAATTGTTTGTGTGTTAATTGGTTATATAGTTGTGTAGAATCAATGATATTAGTGTCATAGTTCTTTGCATACTATTCTCACTGTCTCACCCAGTTTAATATACGAATTATGTTTGAATAATGTTTGTATTATTATATGGATATGTTCTTTATCCTTTTATATGTGTTCCAGGGTATTATTCTTGTTATTCATCATTTTATTCATCATATATAGTATGAATTAATGAATTATCTTATTAAATGATGTGTTATTCATCCATTTATTGTTTAATTTCATATTAAACTTCATTATAATAGTTTTATAATCATACTTATTTCATTTGCTAAGTATGTATGTTTGCTTCACAGTGTATAATCATTTATTTGATTTATTGAAGTACAATCACACAGTTGTGTTGACTTCTCCTTTTGTCATGATCAACATTATCTTGTATTGCTTCTGCTTCAAATGATTAATGTTTTGATCAACAGTACACATGTTAATTCCATTGATTCTACTGCTTTTCCCTTTTTGAATCAGTATGAGATTAATGTTTCTGTGTCATAGTTGCTTGTGCAAGGGTTTTGAGATATATGCCATTTCTTAGCTTCATTGTATCAACTATTTGCTAGTCACTTGTGCAAATAATTATATAGTTTATTATCTTACTTGTTCAATATTATTTCACACCTTAAGTATTGGAAATCTTGTATAATGCATAATCTTTAATTCACTATGTATAAGATTGTTATACACTGTTGTATTCAGCATTACTGTATTATTTGGGATTGTTGTAGGAGACACTTTTCTACTCAACATAGCTGTTTATAGTGTACTTCTCTATACATATATTCATAATCTGTAATATATTTGTCTGTTATATATTCAATAGTACTGTGTGAGGGTAATGCCTCAAAGATATAGATAGAATGACTCATGCATTCATTGTATTGACATTGGATTCTTTGTAATGACTTGGTAAATATGTTTTGTAGGATATGTAACATTGAATAGTAATATAGTCAACATTTCTGTATCATTTAATTGTTTGTTTATAGTATGATTGAATGTATATAATTACTCTCCCTCAATTTGAGAAGGTTTACTTTGAGTAATTGTTTTGTATATTGTCGATCTCAAGTACCGGTTGAGGTAGAAGAGGTCAGTTGAGTCCGCAAGGTACGGACGCCGAGAGGGGTCAAGAGTGAGAAGGAATAGGTAGATCCGAGCGGAACGTACGAGTTCCGAAGGTGACGATTAACAAGACGAGAGTAGTGCGGAACGACGAAGCCGCACTTCGGAACGAGGCAATACGAGACGAGACGAGGCGAGATGGAACGTTAACTGAGGAGACTGTCAAACTACACACTAAGAGTCGCAGTAGAGAGTAACTTGATTCCTCGAAAGTACGAATTACATGAGGGTATTTATAGAAATTATGAGTCCTTTGTAGCTACTAGTCCTTTGTGAACAAATCCACCGCTGTCTC